GTTCTTTCGTGAGTCACTTGAGAGAGAAAATGAATAGAGTATTAGTTTAGTTTCATTTTTCTTTGTACAATGTGTTTACTTGAAAATGGCCGAAAACAAGGTCGAAATAACGTTAAAATAAAGAGATGCGATTCAGAATAGGTGCATTAGTAATAAAGTTCTTGATTACAAAGTCGTTGCCATCCAAACAAGTTATTGAATTACATATGTTCAACGCAATATATTATACAAGAGGAGTTAAAGGAGACCAGGTCATCTCATAAGCGACGTACCTTCTAAAAACTATACGATCGATACCTCCCACCAGCTATAATAGCGAACATCTCATTCAGTGTCTCCAAATCCCGAACTGTAAGTCTCACACCAAAGAATTTCTTCACAAAACACAGCGCATTCCCCCCTTCTCAACGAAACATTGCGCCATTCACACTATCTCTCTCACTTCGCCTGGTCTCGGTGTTTTGTGGCACCCTCACTTTCTTCCATGCCCACTGAGTCTCCCATTTCGCCTGTCAGTGTTTCGTCGCACCCTTACTTTCTGCCATGCTCACTCGGTCCGTCTGTATTTCGTCTTCCAGTTTTCCATGGCGCTATTAGTTTCCGCAATGTTAAATTAGTCTCTATGTTCGCCTACAACTCTTTTCCATCTGACAGCACGTTAGTACACTAGGCTGGAAATGGAAGGCGAGAAGTATTCAGCCCTTAATGGAAGGTAATGAGATGCTTGGATATGCGGATGTAGAAGACGTATGCATGCGCTGAGGAGATATGCGGGAGATGCGCTCATCTCTTAAGGAGAGGCAGCACCTCCCACGAGAGATGCGTCTCCCTGCCCGGCACCGGCCAGAATCTCAAATAAAAAAATTTCGCCTGGAGATGCTGGGAGATGTAGCTAGAGAGATGTGCGGGAGATGTGGTCATCCCTTATGACGAAAGATATTGGCTGTTCTAGTGTATCTCCACATCTCTCGCAGCGTCTCCTGCATCTCGGATTTCCTGGGTATGTGACTCGGCTGATATTTTTTGGACAAGCAAGTATTCTTAAAGCAACTGTCTAGCGTGCACCATTCATGGATTCTGCCATCTTCGGGCATACACAAGTGAATCGTAGTTATTGGAAAGTGGATAGCAGTGGTCGTGTTCAGGATGTTTAGGACCTTATATGTTGAAGTTTGCGGCATATTCAGTTTATTCGGTAAATGAGGGCGAGCAATATTATAACCTATTGAATATCATATTCTTTACCATCGAAACAATTTTGTGACGCTTCCCAGAAAGCATATGTTAACTCGAAAACTTGGATACATAGGTTTTTGACCACCCTGAACACGATGACGTTCGCGGTTTGCCGGAGTGTATCGGAAAATTATCTAAAATTCCCAAAAACCTTCTAGAAAAATTACTGACGCACGTCTGTTTCTTTTTGATCGAAAGAGCCATTCGATAGTGCCCAAAATTTTATACTCGTACTTCAGTCTAATTGATACGATTGACCGGTTTATACGAAACTGTAATTAAGAGCTTATCAACAATATTGTATATTTGTACTCTATCGGATAGTACACGATTTATATTGGGACAATCTTATACCATTTGCAAAGTTTTCGACCAAAAAAGAAACACTTGGTTTTCCAGCAGTCAGATTTTTCAGAAATCATATTATCAAATTTTTTCACCAAATGGCGATATTCACCCCGTCTCATAGAAAAATCTTCCGCCTATTCAAAACAGTATTCAGACTGGTTCCACCTTTTACCGAAAAATCAAAACTAAAAGAGTTCTTACGTGTATGACACGCTGAACTGCACATTTAACACCCAAACGCTTCTTTTGCATATCTTTAATGACAGGCCCCACCTGTCTAAATACGCTGGCGGCCCAAATTGGATAGCCGCTCAATTTGGAGGAGCTGTTGAGTGTTTAAACCTCTTTTCTGATTGTTGTCCCTCTTATTAAGAAAAATGAGAAAGGAAACTAAAATATATATGCTTTTATTACAGGCTCTTTTTTACAAAAAAAATGAGACAGACATATTCGTGATCAGCTCGAAATTCTCTATCGAACGGTGTATAAAAAGCATAAAAAAGAATTCCACCTGAAGTTTGACTTATCTGCATCTTATGATAAACTGAGTAAATAACAGAATTCGTGTTTTTTTGCTTTTTAGAATGTTTTATTTGGCGCTTCTAAACATATTACATTTTCATATCGTTCGCGGCCAATGGGTCGTCCATGACCCATTTACTTTTAAGCACTTTTCAGAAAATTCGTACATCGTAAGAATATATTGGTTGGAAAGGCAACACTCTACTAAACATTGATCGACCATAACATGTTTCTAAAACCTTCTTGAATAAAAACTAAAAACTGAGAAAATTTTTTTTTCAACTTTTCAATTTTTGAAAACTCTGTCTGTCTACTTATGAATTAAGAAAAGATGAAATCTAAAATAAATTCAAAAATACGAGTCAGAGATCTGAATATTTTTCCAAATGCGGCCTATAGAAACTGACGGCAAACTAACTAGTAGAATAAAGTAGTTAGTAGTACAATATGTCAATTTCAAGATTGAATCAAATCAAAGTTGCACCAATGTTGAGCAATACAATGGGTAACTCATGACCCATTGGTAGCGAACAACATGAAAAAAGTACAAAAAGAAAAGTACTCTTTTACACTTAGGTTGTTATTTTACAGCAAACATATTTTTAATGACCCATTGGTTATATTGGTTGGAAAGGCAACACTCTACTAAACATTGATCGACCATAACATGTTTCTAAAACCTTCTTGAATAAAAACTAAAAACCGAGAAAAAAATTTTTTCAACTTTTTAATTTTTTGAAAACTTATTTTGTGATTGAAATCTCGTCACCAAAAATTGATGAAAAAGAAAATCGTTTTTTACTAATCGATAGCTTATGGAATTATCTTGCTCTCAAAAGCAGTCCAATTTTTATCAGAAAAAAGGATTTTCCAAGATTTTTTTCTCGAGATTTTTCAGGAAAGTTCATAATTAAAACCCTTCAATAAGATAACACGAAATATTTGTAATTTACGTGTGTTGGGAGGTTTAACCTCCCAACACACGAGGAATGATATGTCTTTCAGGTTATGAGCAAATTATCCTTAGTTGAGTCTTCAGTTAATGTCTTCTGGCATAGTCCTCTAGTTTCCACAAATAATTTCATATAGTATGAATTTCTTTGTTCTTTCCTTTTCTCAACACAATCACACGGAGAGACTCCAGGATTAATTAGATTTTTGCAGTATATAACTATAATGAAAAAGAAGAAGAGCAGATTTCACATCTTCTCCGTCAGTACAGTCTCATGCCTTATATCCCGATTGGGATATAAATTTCATTTTTCTAAACGAAATTTCGTTAGCGAAAAAATGATGAAATTCGCGAAAAGTTTTGACCATACTGTCGAAAAGAGCGCAAAAAACTGTTTCAGATTCTTTTTTCCTTGTGATCAACTCTTTCTTCCGGTCAGCCACCTTTTTTTAAATAATTATCAAGGTGACATTCCATATCCCGATCAGGATATTTTACAATTTTTACTAGCTATTTTTAATTTTAACACCTCGAAATATCTTGATATTTTTTCTTACTCTGGACATACATGAGGTAGCTACATCCAGCGAAGTATTCAATTAAAGCCACGCTCATCGACCGTGATTCGTCGTCCGAGCAGCGACGTGAACAACATTGTTCACAAAAAAAGTTGTCGGATTCGTAATTGCGTGAAAATTTGTTTTCTCGTTAAGATTTCTCTGAATCAGCAACATAACCTTCGAAATGTGAAGTGACACAGCCGGATATAAGAGGTTTTTCTCATTTTACAGTAACAATTTCACCTCATGATGTAAATATAGAAACAAAATTATTTAAAATTGGATTTACTTTAAATAATTTAGGAATTTTATAAAGGTGGTCGCTTTATATTTTCATTTTTAAATCCGCCGAATTATCCATTTGAACCATCTAAAATATAGGGTACACAAACAATTTATCATCCAAATACTAACCTTAATGGAAGTGTCTGCTTAAATATTCTTAAGTAAGAAAACGTTTTTCGAAAAAGTCCCCTATTTTTGTTGTTTTTCTCTAGAGACGATTGGAAATCTATGTTTACTCTCGTACCGGTTGTTCTTCGATTGGTTTTTCTCTTTTTGGTAAGCCAGAATTGTACCAAAACGAAAATAAGCTTGATAGAGATCAATTGTTATGAATGTACAAACTTTTTTCCAATATACTTCGCTCTGACTGTGGAGAAATTTTCCATTATGATTCATACTCGACAGTGTCGTATTTATTCCCCTGTTTTATTGCATACAAAAAGAGGAATGTCACTATCTCTGATCGACAAATTCTCAATTAGTCGGTAAACATATTTGGTCTAACTTTTCATTCGCTCTCGGAATGTTTGTAGATTTCTCGAAGATTGTATTGGAATCATCCGATGTAACTGAAAAAGTCCTAAATAAAAGTCTCGAGGATTCGTTTGAAAGAAAAAGTGGATCGCTATCAGCAACATTTTAGCCTCAGTATATATTTTTCGTACAGGATAATTTTCTTACAGGAATCAAATACCGGTGATCCATTGAATCACGAAGCTGCTGCAGTCTTTGAAGCAGATGTAAATACATTTAAAGCAAATGTTAGTAAAACAATGGCAGGTGGAATATTGAACAATACTCAACATAATATACTTAACGCAGACCACTAAAATTTTCTGTTTAATTTTTTTGTAATATAAATAAATAAAAATAAAATCATTTTTTAGATGAAAAAATCTAAAGAAGCACCAGCTACAGTCACTTTTTTCTGAGTAGTAGGGACTAATAGTTCTATGAAAAGAATGTGATTTTGACAAAAAATAAATGATGTCCATGTGCTCTATAGAAATTGGCCATTGTGCGACAGTATCGGTGATATGTATTTTGCTATGCGCGGCGCAATGTAGTGAAATATCTCTTGGGAAGACTATACAATTCAGAAAGGTGTCAGTTTGACCCTGTGTTTTGCATCACTGGGCTTCAGAAGGAAAGAAAGCACACAGCACAGTAGCAAACCTATTCCTCTCTTTACAACAGAAAATATGGAATACTTCGAAAATGTATTCACCTTATCTATTCGATAGCTCCAGCACATTAAATTTGTCACTGCAGTTCTATAACTGGTGGAAAGCATTCTACGTGCATTCAGAATCACCGGTTCGTAAGGTCCAAGTCCAACTGGTCGCAATAATCAATGCATCATTCGAACACTTCTTTATTCAGAAAAAACCTCCAAAAGAGCTCTTGAATCGATTAGAAACAGTACCAGATGAAGAACGAATCAGCACGCGACCACAAAGCCACCAATCAGAATCTTCCTGATTGATTAGACCTAAATACTCCCCTACTTGGATGTAATCACCGTCACATCTCCTTTCTTATTTTCATCTTCAATAAAAACAGACAACTATTCACGATCTCACCCCCACAGACAAAGCAATTATTTCATCAGAGAGAGAGAGAGAGTCTGGACTTTTGAAAAGCATGTTCAAATGATCAACTAATCCAGCTGGCAGTTCATACCATACGATCTAATGCCTCTACTTCGAGATGCAACTAACAAGCAGTAAGAAACCGATACCACCGATTATTAGCTATATTGAATAACCACATATTAATTCATGAATTCCGAAGTTACCTGATGATGATCAGAATAAGTCCTGATCGAAACATGTCGAAATGTGCTTGGAATTTCTTTGGAAACTCACCCGCACTCAACAGATTGATTTGTGTTTTTTTTCTTATTGGAATACGAGTCAGTCTGTTTTC